GCTGGGCGGTGCACCCGGCCAAAAAAAGACTGGAGCTCGGGCAGCCAGGCCGTTTGCTACGCAGTCAAGTCACTAAAGTGGGCTTGTCGCCTGCCAAGGTCAACTGGATTGAAGGAGGGGGCGCGCCGTTTCTCCTCTTTCTCCTCTTTTTGCCCACCCACACTCGGTCCATACCACCCCATCCCCATCCCTCCCCCATCCCCCATTCTTCCGACTACCGAGTCCCTTTGCTGTGGTCAGGTCCCCTCGACAGTCGTCTCATCCTCGCTTCCCCGCCTCCGCCTTCTGCGACTCTGCTCTGCACCACTCTGCGCCCGCGTTCCCTTCCATACCTACCAAGGTAGATTCTGTGCCTGGGGATCTGTACCTAGGTATTGACTGTGCCGCTCTCTCCCGTTGTCGCGCAATTGTCGGCTTGTCGACTCGCTGCTTCTCCGCTCAGCGCCTCCGCGTTCCAATTTCTCAACCGCCTGCCAATTCTCCTCCTCCTCCCCCAACGGGCAATCAGTCGCGCTCGCTGTCGTGCTCCTCACGCGATAGCTGGACGCCCACATTTACCCAACGACTCGACTCGGGAGGACCCCAAAACCGCACGGCTGCCAAGCGCCACCTCATAGCCGTCACCTCCAACAAACCATCTATCCGCCGCACGCCGCACATACAACGACCAACTTTGTCGTCCCTCCCTGGCTCCTCCGGCGCTGGGCTCTCTGACTTTGCGCCTGCCCCCACACGGCTTTACAGACGCACACCCTCTGTCGTACCTGTGCCCTTGCCGGTCATACTTGTCTCTCCCCGATCGCAAGAGACGGTCAAGGTCACGGTCGCTGTCGAGCACCCAGCTCCCCCGCCGTCGTGGTCCTTGTCACTGCTCTCTGCGCGCATCTCATCGGCCTGCCTGCCGACGGCGAAGCGCTGCGGACCCGGCTCATCACGAGAACGCGCCTTTTCACCCAATTTTCCCTGACCCGGAGCTAGCTATCGAGCTGGGTGCAAGTAGGGAGGTAGGTATCAAACAAATCACGGCACGAAGCAAAACGAGGGGTACCGGCAACCAAGTGCACGGCGACCCCAACACACCTTTTTACCCCCATCAAGGACTCTCGATATAACACAACGGGCATGGGCTGCGCTCCCTGAGTCACCCTCTCCGCTTGTACAACGTTGGAAACAACCCCCCACAACACAAAGCCCCCTTGATCAACCTCCTCTCCCCCCTTCCCCGCTTCTGCGCCGCCCTTCTTCTCGTCCCTCCCCCAGGCCACATTGCCCGTTCCGATACCCCAACATACCCCCCCCCCCCCCCCCCAAGCCAGCAACCCGGAAGCCTCCTCCCCCATGCTGCCCCTCCAGTCAATCGAGACGGCACCCCCGCCGAGTACTGCCGACGAGAATGGAGAGCACCGGCAGCAGAAACCCAAGACTCTGCCGTGCAAGTATTGCAGCAAACGGTTCAGGTCAGCACACAATCCCAACCTCATCCGCCGCCCCCTCTGCATATTGGCTTACATTGGCTCTTGATATTAGGCGTGTGGAGCATGTTCAGAGGCACGAGAGAACCCATACCAAGGAAAAGCCATTTTCGTGCGGCTGGGCTCGATGTGGAAAGACGTTTGGACGACGGTCAGTTGCTAGTTCCCAAGTTCCCTAGCTCCCCAATCCTCCCCATCACTTGATTTGTGTGCGCCTTTTGCACCACGCAGCCCACCACCCCCTCCCCTCACCCCCTTTCTGCCTTGTCGACCCAGCCTACCTACCCCATCTCCAACTTCCTAGTTTGCTACCTATCTCCCCCTCGTTTGATCCCATCCCCAACTCATCCAAAACACCAATCCCCAAGTGTTCACAGCCGACAAAGTATACTTATATGGACATCAGGGACCTCCTTGTTCGACATGAGAAGCTCGTCCATCTCAATGAAGGCAGCAGCAAGGACGGGGCGAGGCCCCGGAAACCTTCCTCAGGAGGGCCTGCCGCTGCGGGCCCCTCCGAGCCTCAGGGAGACAGCGAGATGCTCAACTTGCAGCCCCAGCGTCCATCTCAGGCCCATCCGCTCTACCGCACCGAAGTGCTGCAGCCGACACCGGTCGCCACACACGCGCCCGACTCTCGCCTTGCCGCGAGGGCGCCGGCGTGCAATCTCGATCTTCTCTCCGACGCCGCGACGCATCTTGCTTCGGGCGGCGAGGTTAGCAACATGCAGCCATCCATGATGCAGGGATTGCAACAGCAGCCTCCAGACCTTGCGCCGGTCAAGCCGTACCCCGACGGGTCGTATGTGGAGCGACCCCGCGAACCGGAGCCGGGGCCCATGCCCGGTGACTATGCTCCCCAGCCGCAGCAAGCCTCATACGACGGCGACTACCACCTCTTCATGGACGATTTTGGGTCGACGTCGCATTTCTTGCCTCAGTCGCTAGAGGCGGAGCATGCCTTTGGCATGTGGCCGCGGCTGGGGGGCGACATGGGAGGGAGGGCCGGACCGTCCAAACCCCCGTCTGCCTTTCCATCGAGGCTGCCGTCACTGCAACCGGATATGCGCGACGACGGAAACTCGCGATCGCATGAAGACGGGATGCGAGCACCGAACTGGAGGATATCGGGTCCGGATCACACGGCCATCAAGAACCGGCTCGACGAATTCTCTTCGGTCCTTCCCAGCGATTTCATCTTTCCGTCGCGATTCACGCTCAACCGGTTTCTAGAAGGCTACATCAGCGGTTTTCACGACCACCTCCCCTTCCTCCACCTTGCGACGCTCTTGCCCACCGATCTGTCGCCCGAGCTTCTCCTCGCCGTTCTATCAGTCGGGGCCCAGTATCGATTCGAGGCGATGAGAGGCAATGCGCTGTGGTATGCCGCCAAGGCCGTGGCCCTGGAGCAGATCCGACGCCGGCACAGCCATGAAGTTCACGGCTTGCTCCCTACACCGGCTGCGTACAGCCCGCACTCCACCCGACCATCTCCGAGTTCCGGGTTTCGACATTCGTTCCCCTCGGTCCACCAGGACCGACCCATGACTCAGGATACGCACAGGGAGCCGTAGTAAGTAACTCGACATGACCGTTGCTGGCCGTATGCTAACTGGAAAGCTCGCCCAACACTCCTCAAGCCCGCCTTGAAACCATCCAGGCGCTCCTCCTCCTCTTCGCCGTTGGTCTCTGGGGGGCCAAGGCCATTCTGCACGAAGCCATTTCTCTCCAGAGCCTGGTTGCGTTGCTCGTGCGCGAGGAAGGTCTCGACGCGGAATCAAGTCATCAGCAACCAAACCATCAGCAGCCGACGCCTGACTGGGAGACATGGGTCCGGGTCGAGTCTGCGACGCGAACCAAGCTCATCGCGTACTGCTTCTTGAACTTGGGCAGCATTGCCTACAATACGCCGCCGCTGCTCCTGACCTCGGAGCTCCATCTACCCCTCCCGAGCTCGTCTCGGCTGTGGAAGGCAGAGAACGCATGGCAGTGGCAGGAGATGCGACAGACGTACCAGCCCGCCGAGGTTTTGTTGCAGGATGCTTTTTCGAGGCTCCTCAATCGCCCGTCCCAGGGATCGCCCTCGCCACTGACGTCGTTGGGCTATTACGTGCTCATTCATGCCCTTAATCAGCACATTTTCATGCTCAAGCAGACGTCCTTTGCCAGCCTCTCGCCATTCGAGATCTCCCGGGGGCTGAAGATGGAGGATGTCGAGGATGTGACGCAGGCCCTCAAGATCTGGTACTCGGGCTTTGACCAACACATTTCCCGCCAGGCCGAGGCAGGACCGCATGGCAACGGAGGCGACGCATCTCCGGATGGGCCGATTGCGCTGAACTCGTCGTCTCTGCTGCGAATTGCCTACATCAGGCTGTACACGGGCCTCGTGCCTAGTCGCAGCCTCGAAACGCGCGACCACGTCTTGATATCCTCGGCATTCAGCGACGCCCCCCTTCTCGTGCGCACCCCTCTGCTTTGCCGCACCATAGCCAGCGCTATCTTCGCCCTGTCCCAGTTGGTCAAGATTGGTGTCAGCTACGTGGCCAAGACCAAGTCACCAGAGTGGGGTGTGCAGCATTCACGCGAGTCCCCTATTTCTCTACTCGTCGGTCCAAAGCTAACACTTCACAGTGTGCAACCTAGAGTGTGCTGTCCTGCTCTCGAAGTGGCTGTTGACTCTGGCCGCCATCGGGCCGGCGGAACCGCCACCATCGGCGGACGAAAAGCACCTGCTGCATAATCTATCGCACATGCTCGATGAGACGGAATTCGCCGTACCGATCGACCCTTCGCTCTCGGGGTCGGGCGGTAACCACGGCCATCACCAGTCGCGACCGTCGATCGACGTCAACGCTGCCGACAGCACCAAGCTCCGGCAACTTGCGTCTGCCGTGGTTCGACTGTGGGCGGAGACGTTCAAGGGGGCTCACATCTTTGAGGTTATTGCCATCATGGCGGCGGGGCTGGAGGGGTACGCGGACCTTATCGAGAAGCCCCGGGACAGGACGCCGTTGGGGAGGATGGTGTCCAACTAGGGCGTGCTTGGGCTTGCGTGGAATCGGCGGTGGAATTATTTCTTGTCATGTTCTCGGGTCTGCGCTTCTTGCATGGGGACTTTGTATGGCGAGTCAGCAGGCCGCCATCACCTTTCCTATGTTACTTTTGGCTGGCATGTGGTGGATCTGTCTTTGTCTTGGTTCAAGTGATATCCGCGGTGTGGGAAAGGGCAAGGGCCGTGACGGGGTCGACGGCGGTGTCTCGTGTATATATCCACCACCGTTGTGCCCCGGTGCGCAGCGGAAGCTCTGGCGAGGCCGTCTCTGTAGAGTAGAAGCGACGCGTGTTTTTACTAGGAACATGCATCCTGCTCGCGTTTTGTTCCTGCTCTAGTCCATGTCGTGTTCCGACCCACTCAACTTGCACATGCCATGCCCTTCTCCACCATCTCATCTGGATGGACCCTGCTGCTGCTGTACATGAGAGAGTTTTCTCCTCCAAATAGATAGGTTCAGCCAGCAGCAAATCGCCCGGCTAGCTCAATCGGTAGAGCGTGAGACTCTTATATGACTCGTAGCCAGCCCCCGAGCGGTTCCGAGAAAGAAAAAGGTCATCTCAAGGTTGTGGGTTCGACCCCCACGTCGGGCTCAATTCCCGGGTGCGATGGGTTGCTGGCGTCTTTTTTTGCACCCTTCCATCCTTCTTTTGGATTTGAAAGGAAGACTGCTAGCAGCATTGTCCGAGTTGTGGGAGGAAGGCGTTGGTTGGTTGGCATTTTGGGTGTTGCCTCCTCCTTTCCACGCCAGCGAGGTCACGACGACACCAATACCTTCCTTCTTCGCCCTTCCCCAGGGGACGGAAATCCCGCCAACACAACGCAAAGCAAAAGCTCCTCGCCATAAAAAAAAAGCCCAAAAAGATATTGTCAACTCCCCCACATAGGGTCGAACTATGAACCTCCAAATTAACAGTCTGACGCGCTAGCCAATTGCGCCATGGGGGATAATTGTTGGGTGTTGGATGGCTGAAAGAGCTTCGGAATAGCAACCTAGGTAGGTACCACTTAGGGAGGGGGCAGCACTTGATGGATGCCATTCAGGAAAGGAAGGAGTGCAAGGGGAGGGGGGGGGGGCGGGCGATGACGGGTTGGGTGGTCAGGCACTGCAGGGAGGACAATGAAGTTATGTACTGCAGGAAAGAAGAGAAGGAGGTAAATCGATGTTGGACACACCTGTCCAACACTCTCAGGTCGTCACATGGTCATGGTTGTTCTTGTTCTCCACACTTATCACCCAAAATGCAGCGCACACCTGCGTCGACCCCCCCCCCCCCCCCATGGAACTTATCGGGAACACAATGTGCAAGGGAACCTATTTTACCCACTACGGTCTATCAAGAGCATACCTCCCTACGTAATGAACCTCCATGACACTTCTCCCAGCGACTGTCAACGTCAAAATATCTTGTATTTATTCCCCTACTCCGTACCTTCCCTCCCAACCCCAACCGCCAAAACATCGCACCAGCCACCCGACATGACATGACGACAACGCAACGGCACAGCGCAACAACCTCCATCCTCCTCTTCTGTAGAATATCTTCCGAGATAAATATAACTCCCTCCTTACACGTCCACTCCTGCCCGCCATCAGCACACCCCCTCACCTATCCCAATCTCACCTATCCCAATCCCAACCACAACCCCCCTAACGAGCAACAACCTCGTAATAATCCCCCGGTGCGCTCGGCGCGCTCGGTCCCTCTCCCGGCCCCGACCCCGTCCCAGGCGGCACATACGCCTTGTACTGCGGCGCCCCTCCCTGCTGCTGCTGCTGCTGCTGCTGCTGCATCCGCCCATGACTCGGCAGCGTCTGACGCGCATCGTACCCCGCCGTCCCCGGCGGCGGCGGCGACATGGGCGGCCTTCCCTGCCCCTGGGGCACCGGCGGCGCCTGGCCCAGCGGCGCGGACGGCGGGGCGTCGTAACCCCCGTAGGGCTGCGCGGCCTGGTACGGGGCGTATTGCCCGTAGGCGGGACCCGAGGGCGCCGACGGGGGCGGGGCCGAGGGCTGGGGGGGGATGGCGGTGTTGAGGGGCCGGCTGGCGGCAACGGGGCTGCTGGCGGCGGCGGTGTAGGGGTCTTCTTGGGGAGGGGGGTAGGACGAGTACGCGGCCGCGGGGTTGGAGCCGTGCGGGGCGATGGGGGAGTCGTAGACTGACGTGGACAGCTCCTGCGGCGCGCCGCCGTAGCTCTGGGGACGCGTGGACGCCGGAGGGGCCGAGTAAGGGGCGTACTGATTGGCTGGGGGGGTGGGGGAGGAACTTGTGTCGAGGGGGGTCGGCTGTCTCCCACCCGACGGTCGACGCTGCTCCGGCAGCATTTGGGGGTACGAGGGCTGCTGGGAAGGCTGCTGTGGTTGTCCTTGCGGGAGCGGTTGAGCCCCTTGGGCTGGTGGCTGTCCGCCGTCGGGACCTGCACCATAGTAGGCAGGACCGGGGCGTTGGGAATTAGGAGATGGAGACGAAGGGTATTGCGTCGATTCTACAGTATATACATCAGCGACACAGGCTCAAGCATCAACCCCTAACTCGCCAGAATCTGCCAGCTGCATACCTTGGGCGGGCGCAGGTGTGTAGAAACGCTGCGGGTCATGCTGGCCGTACCCAGGCCCGGGAGCAGGATAGCCCTGAGGAACCTGTGGTCTGGCAGGATATTGGTAGTATGACGGGCCAGGTGGGTGGGCCATGGATGACTCCAACAGAGCCTCGTAGTCTCTCCTGGCCTTGATGAACTTTTCATTGAGCTGGGTAAAGTCATCTAGACGCCGTTAGCACCGAAACTCGCCTTTCCAAAAAGGCAACATACCCTTCTTCTGCGAGTACTTTTCAATGAGCTTGATGAGCTTCGGGCGGATCGCGAGCGTTTGGTGGTAGAGTTTCTGCAACCGTTAGCTACCTGGCAACCCACACCCTCCTAGACACTCGACATACCGAGATCTCCTCATTATCCTCTTCCCGCGGCGCCGTGTTGCTCGCGCTCAGCAGCGTCAACAGCTTCTCGACATTCTTAATCTCGGCAAACACCTCAGCCTCCATCTGGGCCTCGCGCTGCAGCTCGTCGGGCGTCGGATCCGTCAGCTTCTCGACGTAGTTGAGCGGGAAGATGCCCGTCTTCCCCTTGAGCGAGCCCCGCCACCAGTCCTTGAAGACGCTCTCCAGCACGGCAATAACATCGCCCTTTTTGAACTCGAGCTCGCCCGGCTCCGAGGGCACAAAGTCAAAGAGAGCCCGGACGCGGGACACCGTCGCAGCCGTGGTGCCAGTGGGCGTGGGCTGTATCGGGACCGCCTGGCTCGCGCCGGCCTGCGCCGACGGTCCTGCGCTGGTCCGACCCGAGCCCGAGGGGCCGGCCTGCGACGAGGACGGAGCCTTCTTGCGCTCCTCCTCCTGCAGACTGAGCTTGAGGGCCATCTGCAGCTCGTCCTCCTCCTTTTGGCGGTCGAGATCCGTCAGGTTGTTCTTTTGCGGGGCGCTGGGGGGTTGCAGCGAGGGGTTGGACTGCTTGAGGCGGAAGTAGGCGTCGTACATGATGCCGAGGTCGGGGTCGGCCTTGAACATGTCGGACCAATCCTTCATGCGCTCGAGGATCTTGGCCTTGACCTGGTTATGGGTGTTGCGGTCGTTGGCGAGTTTGAGGAGGGCGTCGGTGAAGGCGCGGCTCGAGAGCTCGCGGTGCATGGGCTTGCCGCAGTTTTGGGAGAGTGCGTTGGCGACCTGTCAAGCATACTTAGCAGAGCGTCATAGGTCGGGGAAAGGGGGATAGTCACCTCGAGGGTATAGAGCTGGACGTTGGCGTTCCGATGGGCCAGGCGCTTGATCAAGCTCTGGACGGCCTCCTTGGAGCCGTTGGCGTCGGACTGCACGCGATCGCAGACCTCCATGATCTGGCCCCAGTCCTCGGACGTGAGGTTCTCATCGGTGGCCTTGTCTATGGGTCAAGATCAGCAAGGCTGCGCACGCGCACACCCATATCGCCGGCGGCAGAGGGACAAACGTACTGATGGCCTCATCGTAGGGCCCCACGGCCGCGGCTCGAAACATGGCGAGAGCTGGTGTGTGCCAAAGCTGGGAGTCGACCGATGTGGTGTACTCGACAGTTCCCTCCCTCGGGTCGAAGGTAGTCGTATGGTGGAGCGGATGATGTCGTCGCCGCGGTGCTTAGTTGAGGCCGCTGGCGGGAGTAAGTGATGGTCGTGAGTGGATGTCGCCGAGTTTGCTCCGTAGACGCCGCAAGCTGTCTGCCTGTCGACCCAGCGTGCCGGATCCGGAGAGTAGTAGGGGGTTATCGTAAAGTCGGTCGTTTTCGAGAGTCTGTGGCTTATGGCTCGAGAAGATCCAATGTTGCAGAGGCAAACGAGTGGTGATGGCAAGTTGCAAGCGACGGGAAGAGGTGTACCGGATTGTGAGGGCAGGCGGGCAGTGCAGTTGGTTGGCAGCCTGCCGCCTCCCACTATGACGGACTGGCTCCGCCCCGCCTTTTCCCAGCAACCTTCCATGGGGCCCCTGGGCTGACGTCCCCCTCCCCCCGTGCCCCCCTCATGATCCAAGCTCCCTCACGCCTTGCCTTGCGAATCCGCCCCCCGATTGCGTAGGTGCTTGCGTCGCCTCACATAGCACCGGGATATCTCTCTCATCATTCGCTGCTTGGTTCCTCGGTTTTTTTATCACAAATCTCAAATGTGCAACGACAACCTCCTCCAAGGGATATATCTCCCTCCTCGCTCCTCATGAACAAGGGGCTTGGCGCCAAGACATGGACCATGGACATTCATGGCCATCATCACATGTGAAGCCCTTGGTGGTTGAAGCCGTCACTTGCAATCTTTAATCGCCACCCGGTATTTTCAGCGCTATGTAGATGCACCATGGGCAAATATGCTCAACAAATGCCACACACATATATCACATTTTGTCAATCTATCCCACATTGCCCCTATTCACACAAGTGCTCGGCTCCCTCCATCTCCAGAGACTCTTCACTTAGGAAGAGCATCATGTTCATTTCCTATACACAGAGCCACCGACCATGTGCAGTCGACCGGCCATGTCCTGTATGCCCCCTCCTCCCTAAACCATCGAGGCCCTATGTGCACCACCCATCCCCATCTCCCCAGAACCCAACGCCGACCGAACCCAAGAAACCAACACCTTCCTCGATGGAGTGCCCACAGCCTCTAGCCCGAGCCTCCAGCCTCAAATGTCCGTCGTGAGCAATGCCATGAGAGTGACCAGCAAATCCGAGCCCTGTCTCTTTCCCCACAACTTCCCAGGTAGTTACCACCCCCTCCTCGTTGCCCCCCTCGTTTCAAACCTCTCCGCCCCTCCACTCCCCTCACCCCGTCCCTCCCCCTCCTCTAAGCTCCCCCTCGACGGCCTCTCCAGCTCCGACATGGCAAACACCAACGGCTCCTCATCCCCCTCCTCGCCCCTCGCCCCCGCTCCGAACCGCCCCCCCGAGAACGACCCTCGACTACTCCCAGCCGCCGCCGCACGACTCCGTCCCCCTCCATACCGCACCCCCCTAAACGGCGCGCCCGCCAACAACCCGGGCGACTCCCCCTCCCCCTTGGCCTCCGCCCCCCCCTCGGCCGCCTCCTCCGCCATGCGTATGTCCGCCGCCGGCTGCAGCACGCCCAGCGATGACGACAACGCCCCCCCGCCGTCGTTGCCCCGGAACGAGAGCAGCGTGCTCATTGTCGGCGGCACCTCGCCCCTGTCGTCGGCGCCGAGGCTGAGGCTGCGCTGCGCAATGTCGGTCGAGTCGTCGGGCCCCGTGGCGGCGCGGTGCCCACCCTGCGCGACTGAGCTGGCGCGGCGGTTGCCGGCGGCCGTGGTGCCCGTGTTGTTGTCCGGCGCCTGCAGGAGGCGCGGCGAGAGGGGAATGTCGATGGCCGTGGCGCCGCCCTGCGAGACGGGCGTCTCGTTGTCGGCGTCTTCCTCCTC